GGGATTTTAGTAGCAACATATTTTCTTCTTTCTTTTTCTAACCGTACTTCTGGCAACAGGAACATGTTAGCTCTCCAAGTCATAGAGCAGCTTGGACGTCTCATAAGCTCCACACAACTCTGGATGGAGGTACAGCTGCCTGCCATATTGGCAGAACATTTTATTCTCACAGAGTGCATTCTGCTTTCTTGATTCTTTATTTTATTTCTTTGCCAACCAGTGGATAGTGTTCGATAGAGGAAACACAATTTATTGAGAGCCTTCAGATCTACAGCAATAACCATGGCTGGTTATGAAGTTCCCCAGATGCATCCTGCTATATAACCTTGAATTTCTAGTTCATTTTAAATTTACAGCACTATAGGAACCCTGCCAATTATTCCTTTTTTCTGTAGTTCCATAAAAATGGAAGCTGCTGTTAATGCTCTTAATGATTTTAATAATGTTTATCAATATTCCAAAAAAGAAATTTGTTGGAGTTTACTATATATTACAAAAAGTACAAATAAGTGTATAGCTTTAAAACTTTCTATCAACTGAATACCTTCATGTAACTTTTTCCTGGATCAATAAATAGTACATTATAGGAATCAAGTTTCTTTACATTCCTTTCAGCAAATATTGTCCTTTTGCCTCTAATGACCATCATTCTAATCTCCAAAATCACAAATTAATTTTGTCTGGTTTTGTATTATATAAATGGGAGTATATACTCTGTCTTCTTTTGTAGTTGGCTTCTCTAAATATTTATGATATTCAATCATATGACTATGTATAATTTTAAACTGCATTTTAATTGTTGCAAAGTATCATGTTTACTATAGTGCATTTATCCATTCTCTGTTGAATATTTGAGTAATCACAGTTTGGAATTATTACAAATAATGCTGTTATAAACCTTGTCACTCTAGTACATGCATTTGTTCAATATATATACGCATCTCTGTTGGGTATACATTTAAAAGAAGGATTTATAGTCATGGTATATATAATAGATAGTACCATGTAATTTTCCAAAATGTCATCCCAAATCAAATTCCCACTACCAGTGTGTGACAACATGATATATATGCTCACCAACACTTGAGTTTTTCCATCTTTTTATTTATATGTGTTTACTTTTATGTTTAAAAGGATTTCCAGTACACAGAAGACTATTAAGTGTGGCCTCTAAGTTCTGTCTAACATACACCGATGTACATAGGGTAGACTAGACTGGGCCCCTAACAACATCCTAATTTATCTCATAAGTGACAGGAAATGAACACATGTAGTTTTGCACATCAAAGGAGAAGGAGCATATGGGTTTGGTTACTTTAGAGCAGTCAGCTGTTTCCTAGTGATGTTTAATAATGCATAAACTTTCGGACAAAAACAAAGACAATAAAAGAAAAGTGTTCACAAATATATTACTATAAATAATAACTGTAATATACTAATATTCATCTATAAACATGAGTTTAAAATGGTTTCAATCATTGGACATAATTTCTTATTTTAATTTTTGAGATAAATAATATATTTGAAGTATTCTCTCATGTCATTTAAATATTTTCTCATTTTGTGTTAAGGTTGCTTCTTTTTTAAAATTTTTAATTTTTATTAGCACTTGTTTGCAGTACATAATGATTTGCAGCACATTCATTGTGCAGAATTGGTGCATGTACACAATGTATCTCAATTCTTTTTACTCCTTCCTCTATATCCCCTGTTAAGATTGCTTCTAATGTTTTACTATTCCACAGAAGTATGTAAAAAATCTCATCAGCAGGGCCAGGGTTTAGCTCAGCAGTGTAAGTGCCTGCTTGGCAAACGTGAGGTCATGAGTTCAATCCCCAGTACCCAATTAAAAAGTCATCATCAGATTACTCTTTCCTTCCTCTTCTTCTGCCTTCTCATTTTGCTTCTCCTCTTCCTTCCTCTTCTTTTTCTCTTTCTCTTTATTTCTCTCCCTTTTCTTCTCCTCTTTGAAAAAAAATAAGTCCTCAGGGCAGAAGTCCTAAGAATAGCATTACTGAATATAAACTTGCTTGTTTTCTGTTTTTAATTTATCGTGTATTTTTCTTTTCAAAATTCTTTTCACAGTTTATACAAGAGGAACCCAACTTTCTTAGAAACTACACATACCAAATTTGATTTTTGTTTCTTTGTTTAACTTTTTGAATACAGGGTCTCACTATGCAGCTGATCTTGAAGTCCTCCTGCCTCAGCCTCCCAAGTACTGGGATTACAAGTATGTGGTCACATCTGGCTCCGCACAGTCACTAAATTTAACTTATGGCAACTAATGCTTCGTTTGGTTCACAAACAAATAAAATCTATGGCAGATTACAGGAGTAAATTTCTAGCATTTGAAAGATTTAATGATTGTTGCTCAGTTTTATTTCTACTAGCCAAATCTTGAAACAACTCAGATTTCTACCAGACAGTAAATGGATAGACAGATTTTGGAATAGTAGAATACTGTGTAGCTACTAAAAGGAATCATTGATACACATATGACAGAATCCAATTTATTTTATCTAATTTATTTCACAACTTACATGGTTGATTATGAAATAATTATAGGGAGAGAAAGATGCCAGAGGAAAAGGAAAGTATTGTGATTCCATTATACAAACTCTATAAAATGCAGTCAGAGTAAGACCAGATCAGTGGCTGCCTTAAGACATGGGGTGGGGATGGAGGAGGTCGAGAAGAAAGGATTATGAAGAATCTACAGAAACTTTGGGGATTGATGGATGTATTTACTCTCTTGATTGTGATGATAATTTTACGGGTTTATACATGCATCACAATTTACCACCTGGTTCACTATAAATATGTGCATTTCACTGTATGTCAGTTAGACTCCAATAAAGTTGTTTTAAAATAAAATTTACTGCTCAATATTTCTAAGTCTTTAAGATGAAAAGAAAATGAGCATTAATTGCTGTTAATTATTATTTGATAGAAGAGTGGGTTCGAGGAACATAATTAAATGTACTGTCCTATAGAATCATAATAACAGGAATTCATGTCTCTCATTTAACATGCCCTAAAAAGATATGTTCACATCTGGGAACCTGTAAATGGAATCTTGTATGGAAACAGGCACTTGGGGGTCGGTGGCAAATTCAGAAACTGTATCATTAGAAAAAGAGAAGAGGATATACAAGCAGACACACAGAAAAAAACACTATGTGGAGATGCACACAGAGATTGAGTGATGCAGATAAAAGCTGAGGATCGCCAAGAATTGCTGGGAGCCACCAGAAGCAGAGAAGAAGTGAGGAAGAATTTGTCAACAGGGCCTGCAGAGTTGTCCATGGTCCTACTGATTTTGGACTTGTAGCTTTAAAACTATGAAATAAATTTCCGTTGTCAGCCACAGATGTGGTTGTTACACTAGTCCTTATTAACTAATATATATCGTCTTCTGCTTTTACTAGCTAGTATAATATAATTTAAATAAAGTTGGTGATAATACCAAAGGGCAAAGTACAAGATATCTGCTCTACAGACCTAGACATCTGTGAAGACACTTTGTATTTCAAACAATGGATCCCCTTTTGTTTTCTTGGTTTCTGTATTTTCTGAAGCCAAACATTACCACTTATATCTTTATGTTAACATGCCAACACAGCAGTTCTCAAAGCACAGTCTATGGACCCGTGGCATTCCTTTGGACCATTCCAGAGAGTCTCTGAGGCCAAATGTATTCTCATTTTGATTTTTCTGACTGCATTAACGTTGGCAGTGATAATGTAAAAGCCAAGGCAGGTCAAAGTGCTGACATCTGAGGATGCACGGCGTACCACAAACTGCTCTAGTAGACATTTTAGTCTTGACCTCCACGCACTGGCGGGAAACAAAAGGTAAAGAGCTTCACTTAGAATGACTTCAATGAAGCAGAAAAATGATTAATTTGATTAAATATTGATCCTTGATTACTCATCTTTTTAATATTCTGTGTGATGTTATGGAAGGTACAAAATACTCTGTTCCATACATATGTACAGAAAAAAGATTCTATGAGGTTGATTTCTGGCTGAAGTAGCAGCTTTCTCCCATGAACACCATTCTTATTTGACAGACAAACTCTGGTTATTCTAATTATTCAGACTTCAGCATTGAGCAGACATGGGCCCTGCATGCTCAGAAATTCTTTATAAACAATCATGCAAGTGATTCTGGGTTTTGTTTTTTGTTTTTGTTTTTTACTGAGAATGATAATTCTTATTAAAGCTTAAACCCAGGTAAGGCCCAAGAAGTCATAGAGATTTGCCTCAAGATACATGGAATAAATTATTAGACATAGACCCGGAAACCAGGGAGCCCTACTCCCAGCCCACCGCGCTTCCCATTCCATTGCAGGAGACAGGTGGCTTTCATATTTCATGCTTCCTCTCCTTGAGATAGTAAGTCAATACTGCAAAAGAAAGAAATGCCAGGTGCAGAAACTGACAAGTCAGATATTACACAGCCACTTAATTTTTATTTTGTAATTTTCACAATCTGAGCAACCAAGTAGAATACATAAAGAAGATACTAAAATACAGCATAATAAAATTCATTTGACCAGGAATATAGGTGCTCATGTTTTTGTCTCCAGCTCAGCTTTGTTTCATTGTACTGTCAACTATTTTCTGGGCCCAGCACTCACTCTGACAAAAGCTGCATTGAGTTGCAAATTGAGACATGGTGTGCAGCTTCTATGATTAAGGAATTCAGAATCTATCCAATGTAAGGCCTCGAGGGCAGAAAGAAAGGCTGAAGAAAAAACATCTCGACATTGCTATGTACAGACGAATGCCTGAAATAAATATTAACTGTTATTTCTGCAAACTTTCCCACTGTTTTATATACTTCATTTCCCCCATTTGTGAGTTTGCAATGTGTTTCTGCAACATTATAGGCTTCTGCTCATGATGAGCATTCTCAGCGTGGGCTGGGTCAGTGTTTGTAGCTCAGCTGGCTGGTGCCAGAGTGGAGAGCTCATCTGATTTGATTCCACCCCAGGCACTGAAGGATTTTCAAGATTTTCCTCTTAATATTTGGCTTTACTTGATAATCCTAGAGCATGCTGGGAAATCTCAGCAAGAGGAAAAATTTAGTAACCACAGGGAGGCCTGCTCGGAGGGCTGTGGGTAAGTATGAAAGCTTATGACTGTGACTACTAATGACTCTTGAATGTTCTGCTCATCACAGAGTTTTCCTTCAGTGTAAAGTGTGTAGGCTTATGTGGCAGAGGGCATTTAGAAAATTTAGCCATCCCAGAAATACAAATGCATGATTGAGTCATTTTCAAAGAGAAATTTCACTAGTCAGGAAAGCATGTGGTACCCTATGGTTCAGCTTGCAATTTAGAATTTCAAAAGGAGACAGGGGCTTGTGTGGGTCTTTTGCCTCATGTTTTCAATCATTTTTGTTTCTTATTTGTTGACTCCTGACCTTGCCCTTGGTGTATGTAGCATAGAAAACATGCTTATCTGCCTCCGATCAGTGTTGGAAAAAGTGCCAAATTCAGAAAAAGGTTCAATAGCCAAGATGGTGACTAAATCCCAAAAATTTGAAGGTTTTCTTTCTGCAAATCAAATTCTTATGTACTCTTTTTTTTTTTAATTCTGTTTTCCCTTTGTTTTTGTTAGTTTATATGTGGTTGCTAAGACTTTCTGTCTTGGAGATGTCTAACAATAGGCTAGATATTTGCTACGTCTGGATGCTCCAGATGTGAGCTACCTCTGAGGTGGAAAAGGAGGGGCTGGAGGTCTTGAACTGTGAAGGGACACGGGGGTGAGGAGGGCAAGCTTTCCAGGCTGGGGGACAACACTCTGTGGCAGCTGTTTCTTGACAGGCTAACCTTACTGAACATGCAGCAGGTGTATGAGGTATCTGATGATAGCTGACATCCAAAGAATCTAGCCAGAAGTGGTGTGTGTACAGCAAGTCCCATAGAATTACAAGAAGCCTTGTCTCAAGGCCTTCTTACCTATAAAGCCTCATGCACAGCAGCCAGGATGACTCTGTAACCCCAGCTTACTTTAATTGAATTATGTCCACATTTATTAAGTTCCTACTAAGAAAAATGCAAGAGGTTGAATATAATTAATTCTTGTGACTTAGGTAACCCTCATTTTAAACTGTAGGAAAAAGTATTAGAGACAGCAAGTGGTTTATCCAAGTTCATACAACTGGTTCTTGTCACATATCTTCATTTCAATGAGAGATGACTTTTTCCTTTCTGTTGCAAAAATAAAATGTCATGTGTGGGTCAGTTGAACAGTCAATGAATTCCACCTTTTCTACAATATTGTTTTTTCCTGGGAGGACATTGTGTGAAGACTGATACTCAGCTGATACTAGATTCATGGGGATTTTGGGAAAGCTATGAAAATTATCCTGGAGTAGCTGTTCTGAAACTGTAATTCATGTCTGCTTTGGAGTACCTATGATATCCTCTGTAAAATCTCTATCCAATGATGCTCTTTTCTTTTAGAATCATCAATGGAAAAAGCCTATAGCTGTTACAACATAATTGTTTGGAAACTCTCAACGTTGGCATAACATCTTTGTTTTACTATTTTAATTTAAGGCCCCTCAGGCCTCTGTCTCAACAAAGTGGAAATGGTCTTCTTTCACATTCTCAAGTTCTCATGATGCCTGTACAATCTGTTTTGAAGAATAAACATAGAAAGAATATGCCCCTCCTCACGGAAGCTGTCTGAGTCAGACATGGCAGACTGGCTTGTCTGACATCTGTACCAACTTCATTCTTGTCTGTATTCTTTGCTGCATTTTCCAGGCATCCTTACTGTGAAGGATCTGGATATGATTTGTTTTAACAACCAGATGTAAATTCTATGGCCCAAGAGAAGTAGCCACCACTCACTCTTTGAGTTTAGAAGTGGCAAAGTAGCCATGGCGCCAATAACTCTAGGCAGATTCTCAGTTCCCAGACAGCAGATAGTGCTGATAAAATGTTGTGTTCTTGAAGTTGTTGATTCCCTAGGGTGTAAATCAGGGAGATCACCACGGAAAGAGGATGAACATAAATAATGTCAAAGAACAGTCTCCTATGATCATAGAGGACTGGCTGGCAGGTCTAAAATGTGTAGGGCAGACCAGAGGCTAGAAACACAGGGGTGAGTTGGTGTTACAGTCTTAGCTCTGAAGTCTGTAGGGAGGGCAGGCTGGAAACAGAATTTGTTACTCTGCTGAGACAGAATTTCTCATTCTCTAGAAACAGCTAAGTTTTTCTCTTTAGCACCTTCAACTGATTGGATGCTAGCTTTCACCAAATTCGTGTACATTTTAAGACAAATTGTAATTCAATTCCCAAGATTTTTTTTTAATTTTCCAAGTGTATTTTAAAATTAATAAAAATATAAAGAAAAAATAAAAGATAGATAATAGAAAAAAAGAGTTGTATCTTTTGCAAAAGAAAAGGGATTAAGATCTGAAGAGAGGTGGGAGGAGAGGTGGGGGAAAGGATAAAAAGAATTAATTAAGCTTTCTGTTTCTTCTGGGCACAGTCCTTCTGGGCAATTGCCTTGATGATGGTCTGGCTTTGAGGTTGACAATGTGGACCCAGAAACTTTGCAGATAGATTTATGATGGTGCTTATCTGAAAGTGTTTTGAAGATCATTTCTATGGAGATCACACTGGAAGAGTGGGCTTTGTAAAATACCTGACCTGACTGATTCATCACTTGTGAGGCATGAGAACCAATCAAACGGTATCTTAGCAAGCTTTCCAGTTCAGTCTTACATAGCCAGGTTTTGTTGCTACTGCCCTCCCAGTTTGATGTGACCCCTAGAAATCCTTATCCTTCATCCTCTATAGTGACTACCCTCCCTCATGGAAGGACTTCCTGGCCTGATATGAATACAACGTCACTCTGTTACAGTAATGTTTATATTGCTGGCTTTCTAGAAAATCATATGTTGAGAGGATAACTAACCTTGGTAATCAAGAATTAAATTTTACCTTTACTTCATAAATAACCTGCTTCCCCAAAGTCTCATCTGCTTTTAGGGATAAATAAAGCCACCTAATATTTATAGCCCTAACTCATGGCCAATCTACATAATACGAGATCTCAGTTTCAAACAAAATTCTCCAGCTTTTCTGAGAGGTTTTAGGAAATGCCTCACAGGTGTTCCCAGCCATGATTTGCTATGCTTTGCAGCTGGTTCATGTGTGTAGTTTTTGGAATATTTTTGATTCTGCCTTACCAAAGCTGATGGCCTTCTTGCAGATATTAAAATTCAATTAACTCTATTGAGCACAGAAATCCAATTAACTATGTGGCAGAGAAGTGGGGTGGATTTTTTTTTACCTTGATTCTATGTTTTGTTTTATTTTTTTCCATATAGGCAGTGGTATTACTCCTTGAGCTTCCCAAAGTTTTTTAAAATTTCTTTTATTATTTTGAAAGTAGTAAAATACAACACAACAAGATGGAACAAAGCCAATTTAGATAGTTTAGTGAAATTGGTACAGAACTTCACAGCGGGTTACTGGATAATAGTAATAGGTACCACAGTATATCTCATTATCTTCACAATAGTTGATCTTTCAATCAGGTATAGCAAAATAAAATGAAATACAGAACATTATAGAACTTATCAAAACAATATTGAATAGAGCAGTACCATTAAACAGAATAAAGCAAATCAGTGGTAAAAATATTTGCCTTTAAAGAGATGGTAGAAGAAAATCCCCCTTATTTGCTATATTGCATATGCTCAACCTCCCAAGAGATGCTCATATTTCTGGCTCCCATTTGCTAACGGGGAGAGGGGGAGACACAGATTGGAGGTGGGATGTTTGATTCTCAGCCTGTGCACCTGTAGCTCACTACCACTTAGCAGGGAGGTAAGCTGGTTGCTTGGTTTCTCAGTGCCCTAAATTCCAACATGACGTGAATCTCAGGAGTCCCTGGAGGTTCTCCCATCTGGGGTGGCCCCAGCCTGCCACACCACAGCTGCTTACCATGGAAGCCAGCTGGTTACTTGGTTTCCTAGGGCCCTAAGTTCCAACATGGTGCCAATCTCAGGAGTCGCTGGTGGTTCTCCCCCTGGAAGGGCCTCAGGCGGCCACACCACAGCCACTTACCAGGGAGGCGAACTGCTTGCTTGGTTTCCCAGGGTCCTAAGTTCCAACATGGCCTGGTTCTCAGGAGACACTGGTGGTTATCTCCCTGGAAGGGCCTCAGGCGGCCACACCACAGCCACTTACCAGGGACGTGAGCTGATTGCTTGGTTTCCCAGCACTCTAAGTTCCAACATCCAAAGTTTTTAATGAAAGTTTTCATTCCATTTCTGCAAACAACATCTTTCTGCAAAATCCAATTCCCACAAATACATTGTGTGTTCCAAACAAAGTTGTGCAAAAGTTATTCTCATAGATCTCTTCACTAGTTCCTCATGTGTGCTCAGCCCTGACTGAAGCTCAGTTTTAACTTAGTTCCAACACAGGCACACTAGGTTCCTTTTATGTATTAGGTCATTCTGCAAATCCAGTGATATAAGAACTACTGAAGAGAATCTCTTGAGAGAGCTTTAAACAAACTTCTGAGGTTAGGATACACTGTCAGAGTGAGACAGCCTGGCAGAATGAGTTTGGATTTTAAGTGTCCCCTAAGGTCTGTTTAGTAAAGACTTGGTTCCCAACATGGCACTTTTAGAAGGCAGAGAGAACGTTAGAGGTAGAAGCTAAGAAAAAGTCATTAGGTCATTGAACTCATACCCTTGAAAGGGATTATGGGACCCTGGCCCTCTCTCTTTCTCTCTTTTGGTCCTTGGCCATTAGATAAGTAGTTTTCACTATCATATACTTCTGTCATGATGTAGTGCCTTACCACAGACCTAAAAGCAAAGAATCTACCTGAACATATCCTGGAGTCTCTGATATGATGGACCAAAATAACCCTTTTCTTTCTGTAGCTTATCTCAGGTATATTATAGCAATGGAAAGCTAACACAGAGCCCAAGTGGCACTTGTGGCAGTTAGTGTTAACTTGCTCAGTCTGTGATCTATCCAGGATATTGGTGGCACACACCTCTGTGTGTGTCTGGATGAGACTTGAGGTATGGCCTTGGGCCTTTGTCTGGTCTCTAGCCCCTTCTGCTCTTACAATGTTCC